GGACAGACAGAAGGACTGTTAGTGGTGGGCAGACAGAAGGACTGTTAGTGGTGGACAGACAGAAGGACTGTTAGTGGTAGACTGGTTTGTCCAGAAGCCTCCCTGTGCCCTTTTGGGATGTGGACCATCATGAGGAGGAAGGACACTCCTCCACTGACATCTCTCTGACACGTCTTTAGGTCCATCTGGGGACATTCCAAATTAAAACTCTTGTCACCTGGACACTTCCTCACCTTCCTCTACTCCTGGCCGCCTCCCCACCTGGTGTCTCAGCTCCTCTTGGAGCTGGCTCTCCAGCCATGGCTGACCACCCGTCTCTCCTCTCTTCCCCTCCTCCAGGAGCTGTCTACTCTGTCTGTCCCTCTCTCTGGATCCTTCTGATTCTCTCAGCTCTGAAACCTACTCTACAAAAGTCCAGCAGGTACTCGGGCAGCTTCTCTAGGCCCTCCTGTGTCTCTAAGATAATGGAACCTCCCTCTGACAGAATTCCTATTCCCAACACTTTTCCCTCAGCCTCTCCCACATCCTCTTCACTCCGCTTCTGAAAGATGTCTTCTGTCCTGCTTGCCCTGTCTCTCAGCACCCATCGCCACCCGCGGCTTTTCCGTTCACACAGACCCCTCACCTGCCTCCTCTAGTCTCTTTCCTCCTTAGACTTGGGGACCCCATTAAAGCCCTACTGCAAATAGTTTGGTCTCCGTACAGACTAGACAATCACTCTCCATGGCCAGAAATTGGCCAAATTCTCAGCTTGTGACAACTTCTGCCACCACACAAACAAATGATCCGAAAGTCCCCTTTTCTCTAAGCTTTCTCTGCTTGTCCCAAAAATCTTATCCTCTGGGCTTCTTTGCTCTAAGCTGCTCTGGTCCCCTCCCTCTGACCATGGGATTCATTCTTAAAGATTCAAATCTCTTTGGCGTATAGATAATACTAAAAATGGTTTTGTACACTGATCTACTAAAAGAGGGGCTCTAGAGTTGAGTTACAGCGTCTCTCCAGACCCAAGCATGCTCATTTAAAAGCTTCCTCCAAAGTCTGTGTCTCGGGTCCAGCTGGCCACCTGACTCTATGACAGAGAAGGAAAGCAAAGAGAAACAGCCCCAAAAAGGGAAAGACACCATGTGTTTTAGAACACTAGCGCAAACTACACCCACTAAGGGTTACCGCTGCTCACCTCACCCCGTTCTTGGTTTTATTGAGCTTTCTGAACACTCCTTCTCGTCTATCTCTGAAACTTTCGCTGAAGTACAAACTTCATCTCAAGATTTATAAGACCATTGTGCAAACTTCCCGTATCTCAGGATTTTTAAGTTTGCTTGGTATATTTTTTTAAGATCTGTAATAAAAAAGTTAGCTTAAAACTTGTAACAGAAAGGGCTCATAGGGAAAAAATCTATACATCGGTAATCTCAACTTGCTAAAACACACTTCTATGGAACTTGGATTCGATGCTTGTTTAGAAAAATAGATGTTTATAAAAAGCAAAAAACAAAAGTGTGTGCCTGATGGCTCACTTTGGAATAAATAGCCACCAAGAGACCGGCAGGCATGGGATCTTGGTTAAGGTGACCATGTGATACAAACCAACTAAGGCAGCACCCACAAAACTTCGTGTGATACTGAGCCCCTGCTTGTCACTGTACTCCTAGCTGGGATTAAAAGTGCAACACCAGGCCTCCAAGATATTTAGGATTAGGATGGATTTTTGCATGGAGATTGTTTTGTTTTGAGGGTAAAAAGTAACGGATGAGAACAAGAGCAGGAACGAGGCTCCTGGAAGAGGACTTAAAACCATGTTTGATGATTGGGAGTTATGAATTCCTAAGATTACAAGGTCTACTCAGGTTAATAGAAACTGACTTAAAGATGCATGTCTAACTACTTATGTCTTTGCTAGCTGTGTTCGACACCCGGCTTCTAAAAACTTTTTTTTTTTTTAGATAAGGAACATGTTTGATGAATAAGGTTTATTAATTCCTAAGGTCCATTCAGGCTAGCAAAAACTAACCTGAAGACGTATGTCAGCCTCTTTGTCTTTGCTAATTTTTTAAAGCTTTAGCTATTTGGATAAATTGACTCATACAAGAAATTATGACATTCTACAAAGGTACACTAAGAAAGGACCAGGAGTCTGGAGAGATGGCTCAGTGGTTAAGAGCACTGGCTGCTCTTCTAGAGGACCTGAGCTCAATTCCCAGCAACCACACGGTCACTCAAAACCATCTGTAATAAGATTTGGCACCCTCTCCTGACCAGCAGGCATACATGAAGACAGAACACTATATACATGAAAAATAAATAGAGAGAGAGAGAGAGAGAGAGAGAGGAAGGACCAGGAAAGCAAGGTTTCCAGTCTCTCTGTGAACTATACTTTTATCTTATTTTATCTTGATGCTAAAGGATCTTCGATTAAATCTCTAATTGTAATTTTTCAGGCTCAAACTTAACAGGAATAAAACTGCAAAATCCTAATCTTATAAAAGCCAAGAACTTGTAAACTGTTAAAGATAATTAAGACATGCAAGTTACGGTCAGTTACCGCATAAATGATTAGTCTTTTAAGGGGCTCAGAACATAACTTATGCTGAGTACAAATGTTATTCATTTACAGGGACATTTAGTCTTCCGAACACGTTGTCAAGATTGAGCCAAAATCAAGTAAAGCTTGTTAAAAAAAAAAAAATCAGGTATACTTAACAAATTCAATGATAGCCATCAAATCTCTCAGAGAGAGAGAGAGAGAGAGAGAGAGAGAGAGAGAGAGAGATCTGCTGAAAAACATTTGAGGTAGTTAGTGGAAAAAAAAAAGCTTCCTGTGACAGGCAGAAACGGCAGCTGCAGCTCCTGATAGCCCTCACGTCTTCTTTGAGAAATGGGGCAATGGACTTCACCTCGACTGTGGCTCAAATATCATCGGGCGCATTTCTGCCCTTCAGTTTGCCATTCGCCAGAACCCTGCCAAAACCATGGAAAAGTGGGACACTGAAAAAATCCGCCTTTCCTGGCCTTGCCAAGGCAGGTCAGTTCCCCAAGTACCTCCTCTTGAGAAAAGTTTCTTGGATCTTTCTGGGCCTGTGGCCAAAGACCGATGCTGCCCAAAGAACTCGGCCCCCCCCCCCCCAAAAAAGTCACCGAGATTACCAAGGAGGAGCCCAGGCAGCCTATCCAGATAGAGGGTAAGTCTTGGTCATTCTTAACTGATACAGAGGCCATTTGGTCTATAATTCCTACTCAGATTTATTCTTCTCAGTTCTATGACGGGGTCAGACAGTTTAGCTGACCTCAGCCAGCCCCTCCCAGTAGGTTACAGCTGCCAGATCCGTCCAATCAGAGCTAGAAAGTCTGTTTCACTTTGGGAACATCTTGGTTTTACAATAACTTGGGGTACAAAAGTTATACGCGTTACTTGCTGATGGTACAAATTTTAAAAACTCTAAATAAATAAAAAAGGGTTTTCGGGCTGAGGCCCGACCAGGCTTTGCTTCTCTTAGGGTCCCCTGCTGAGAAAGGCAGACTTGCAGACAGCTTTGCCTTGCTGACAGGCTTCATGCTGAGAAGGGAAACTCAGAAAACATACTTCCATGTTTTTAAAAAAGATGCTTTTTACTATTCCTTTACTTAAAGAAATTGCTCTCAGTAATCAACCACCTCAGTGGCCCTTGCTCCACAACTGACAACCTAAACTTGGCCCGGTGAACTGACATTATGGCGGGACAGAATCCAGCCCTCCCTGCAAGTCGTCCTCCGACCTCACAAGAGCACCAGGGCTGGCATGTACCTGTCCCGCTCAGAAGATTAAACAAATGAAAAAGAAGTGATAATAATAGAACAACGAAGCAAGAAAAACTGGGTACAAGCACGCCCAGGAGCCCTACCTACCATGTCCATCCCCAGAAGTAATGGCAAAAGGACCGGGAAGCGGAGACTCCTTCATCTCCAGGACTGGTTTACAGAACACACTTCCCAGGATTACTTGGCAGCCCAGATTCACTCTAACACACTTGCACCAAGGATTTAATTAAGCAAACAGAAGACCTCCCTCATCCTAAGCACAGAATACTACCAAAAAGCTGAAATAGCTAAAGTGCCCATCAGACGAGCCTCTTCCAAGGCTCAAGACATCTAGCGGCTCCCAGTACAATCTATGCTCAAACCTCAGCTGCTAAGATGACGGAGCCCAGACACTGATATACACTGGATGCTCTCAGACACCAGAGACACGGCAGATGCTGTCAGGCATCTCTGAAACCGGGGCAACGAAAGGGGTGGAGAGCGATTTGAGGGCAGGCAGACCCATCACTATGTAAAATCCGCAAAGGCGAAGCTCAACGCCAAAGCATTCTGACTGGGTTCCTATGTCTAAGGAAGACAAAAGGAAAGGCATTAAGATTTTTTAAAATAAAGCGTCCGTTGATTTTATATGAACTGTCCCCAGAGGAAACCCTTTAAAAAGTGTCACCCGGTATGTGGAGGAAAAAAATAAATCAAAACCAATCAACCAAAACCTATGCCTACTTGAAATGCAGCATGGGAAATAGGTGTTAATATTGTTATTATTCTTAAAGTCAGAAAAAGAAAAAAAATAAAGTCAGCGGTTGGAAATAAATAGAGTCGGGAGATGCAAATTCAGGAATCTTCCGCCACCCATGAGAGAAGCGAGGTTGGGGGAAGAGCAGGCGTCTGGATGCGAGGTTCTGCTTCGCGTGTATTTGGAACGCCCGGGAGGAGGGACCGGCCACCACACAGAACACAGCTCCTTCCACTGCGGGAAACCCATACCGAGGCTAGCACATGCCCTAACCCCGGCGATCCTGGTCATCGCCACCCAATTCGAGCTGCTGGACCGGAGCGCTGAGGACCCAGCGGGGAGCCAGCCGCCCTCCAGCGAGTCACCCGTCAGGGCGGCCTTCACCCCCAGCCCAGCAAGGGAAGCCCACCGCCCAGCAGCTCGGGGGCGCGGCAGGACACGGGGGCCTCCAGCACACCCACGGGGGACTCGACCCCGCCACCCCCAGAGCCGTTCGAGGAGGGCGGGGCCGCCACAGCGTCCCTCCGGGAGCCGGGTCCCTCAGCTCGCCGCGCCACGCACACACACGGCAGCTGGCTCTCCGTGCCCTCCGTCCTCCCTCCCCGACGGGCGATCGCAGCCGGTTCCCACCGGCTCCACACAGCCTCCCTCCGGTGTCCGGGCGCCACGCACACTCACCATTGCGGCCCGGCGTCTGCGGCGCCCGAGTCCTCCCGTGACGGCCCGGCACCCGCCAGACGCAGGGCAAACGGATGCGGCGGGGCCGAGCGAGCGTCCACACCGGAAGAGACCCAGCCTGAGCAGGATTCCAAGATCCTGGACTTCAGAAACAAAACGTGAAAGCCCGCCCCCGCCACCCTTTCTGAACGTCTGATTGGAAGGTCTGACTATCGGGATGCCACTGATTGGATGACTTTCAGGTCCCGCCCCATCAAGCCCCAGCACTACCCTAGGAAACTGGAATGACAAGTCGTAGTAAAGCTGACCCTAAAGGGGACATCTGTATTTAATCTTGTATATAAGAGCATACCGATTTATGAATCGTATGTATGTATATTATTCTCTGAATTCTGTTCCCGAATTCTAAATTTTAAAATGGGAAGCAATCCCCTGAATTAGCAATATTCAATATTAAAAGGGGGAGTAACACTCAGTATATCCAAAATGTTATCATTATGCGGAATTGCTGCTACTGATACATATATATGCATATGTACATATACACATGTATTATTACTGATGTATATATACACATTACAAGAAACATTGGGTATATATACAAGAAATACTGTGCATACACACACACACACACACACACAAATTTTGGTTACTGTACTAAATTGTCAAGATTCATCAAGTCTTCAGCAGGTTTCAGTTCAGGCCCGTCCATTCCTCCTCTGAGGCGAGGGGCCTGAGAATTTCTCCCATTTATGTCAGAGGTGAAGAAATGCAATTCCCTGCCAATATTTCTCTTAGGCCCAGGGCATGGGAGTAACAGGGTCCTCAAAGAGAGCAGGGGCTTCAACCAGGAGGGGCCCACAGGTGGGGATGGGAGGGAAGCCCGTGTTTCCTGACCCTTTTACGGACTTGCTCTCTGTAGCTTAAATGAATTAAAGCCAAAACTCATTTTGTTTAGTTTTCAGTTTGGCTTTGGACCTAACTGAGAGGCTGTGGACATCTGTGTTCTCCTGTGATGTGGAGTACTGTGTAAATTTAAGAAGCCAACCATAAGCACAAATGACTGTATATGAATGAATGAATCCTGTATAATTCAACACCATCTACCAAGAGATCCAACTTTAATTAGCGGGAAGGGAAATTAATGCATTCATAGCAGCTACCATTTGCCACGTAATTTACAATAAAAATACCATTAAGTCATGGCATCGTGCCCATAAGGACACATTACTTTTCTGCCCCTGGATAACAAACCACTCCAAAACTTATTTGTTGGTGATTGGGATGCCCCGCAATAGAGGTTCAGCCGGGCCACTTCTGGTGTATCTGGTAAGTGAGTGGTGGTCAAGCTGGCACAGCCGCAGAAGGGTGAGCTGGCTATCAGCCAAGGCATCTTTACCAACACCTCATGATATCTCATCATTCCAGCAGGCTGAGGTGTCTTGAAAGAAAGATGAAAAGCATCCGAGACCATTCCAGTCCAGGTATCAGACACAAGGTTATGTGAGCAATGGCCCAAGAAGGCCAACTCAGCTGCAAAGCACAGAAGCGGACACCGCCGTCTGATGGGAGCTACAGAAAAAGCATGTTGCCTAGCTTGTGGCTGCAGGGAGGAGCGAAGACATGCTGACATTTCTGCATCCAGGATCATTATACCTCTTCCTATTAATGAGGTTCAACTGTTCCAAGTCAAGGAGTTTACCCAAACAAGGCTGGAATCCCACAAGTCTTCCTGTCTCCCAAAGCCAAATCCTTACTCCAGAGCATGTGATCCACCACACCTGTGTGGTTCTTAGGGCTTGAATACCGACCTTGATCAAGAGAGCGGGCTTTGTGTCCAGGAACAAGATAGTCTTCATTACTAGGAATGGTCTTTTCGGCAGAATTCTTCTCCAGCTTCTGCAGAGGGCCTAAAATAATTTGGAAAAATGTTTTTCTAAAAAAAAAAAAAAAATGTGAGGCCGGGCGGTGGTGGCGCACGCCTTTAATCCCAGCACTCGGGAGGCAGAGACAGGCGGATCTCTGTGAGTTCGAGGCCAGCCTGGACTACAAGAGCTAGTTCCAGGACAGGAACCAAAAGCTACGGAGAAACCCTGTCTCGAAAAACAAAAAAAAAAAAAAAAAAAAGTGAGAAAAATTTGAGAAATCAAGAACCAACATACATTTTCATTTCTCATCACAAGAGAAATTTGAGGACACATATAATGTACCCCACAGGCATGAACATTCTTTTTGCCTGTTTTTTGGGGGGGCGGGTATTTGTAGGAGTTTTTTTTTCTTTCTGACGCAGGCAGGATGAGATTGCTATGCCTGAAACAATATCTTACCATGAAAACAAGTGCCTCAGAGACATATGGAGTGTCTGCTGAAATAGATATGCTTGAATTAATTTTCTTATCTTGGTTTAATTTTAGTCATATGCATCTAGAAATTTATCTTCTTTTAGATTTTTACAGTTTAGTAGAATATATGTTTTTAACATATATCCTAAGGATTTCCTGAATTTCACTGGGGGTCAGCTTAAACGAGTAGCCAGCTCCCAGCACAGCCATCTCTGAGATGGTGTCGTGTTTTCATGCATACCTGCTGCACTGGCAATCTCCCAGCGTGCTGACTTCCACATAGCTGTTCACGGTACCTCCACTTTGGGTAAGTTGTGGTTCAATATTTAAATATCCTGTCTTTCCCGTTGTAATAGATTCTATGAAGATTCCTTCAACATGTGCAGTTTGCTGTCTGCCTTAACCAGGACTTGGTACTATGTGTGTACTTTAAAATCTGAATAATTACTATCAGGCCGCATTCATTTTTTAATTTGATAGATATATGTTAGATTTTCTGCTTTCATTATATGTCTTTTACATATTCTGTACTCTACACATGCATATAAACTCATGCATAAACACATAAATACATACTTTAAAATCTTAGATATTTCTACAGTCACACAGCATCATTTCCATTATGGTTTTTGACCTTTTGCTTTTCTCTGAGAAGTATGCTTTATATTAAGAATGGCAAGCTTCATTTGGTCCTGAAATCGCATCTTTAAACAACTTAAACTTTAAAATAAGTAAGTCTATACAAAATTTCATGTCATACAATATTCTTTTCACAAGTGATTTTGCCTATATATTTATCCAAAATCAAAACTGAGATAAAATTAACTATTTGGCATCTTTTGCAGTGGCTGGTGGCAGCCCTAGCCAGCCCTGCCCTAGCCTTTTTCTGTCTGAAAATTAATGAGAATTTTTGTTTACTGTAGAATATACCAATAGGAACATTTTCTTGGTCAAGATAATTTTCTTGATTAAGAAAATTATACCCCCATTTTTGCAAGAGCGGAAGCACTGTCAGTTGCTGTACCATCTCTGGCCCCATTACATCTTTTTACTGCATGGTTTTATTCTCAAATCTTTTGATCAATTTCTGTTCATTCTGTTTCTTCATTTTATTCTTTAATCATTCAATTTTTGTGTTAAGAGTCTATCAGGAGAGGTTTTTTTGTCAAATGTTGCTTTGCACATAATGAAATGATTACAGGAATTTAGACTTTATTCTCTCAATGTGAATGTGGGACATTTTTTGATTTACATATGTTGCCCCATTGCTACATCCCAGAAATAAATACTACTTGATCATTGAGGATGATTTTTTAAAAACTCACTACAATTTATCTGTCTGTCTGTCTGTCTATCTGTCTGTCTGTGGGTATGTATGATAAGGCACATGTGTGGATGATGTAGGTGGGTCATCTGCCAATGTGTTGCTTTCATTGGTTAATTAATAAAGAAACTGCTTGGCCTGATAGGTCAGAACATAGGTGGGTGGAGTAGACAGAACAGAATGCTGGGAAGAAGGGAAGTGAGTTAGACGCAATAGCTCTCTTCTCCGAGGTGGATACAGATTAGAATCTTTCCCGGTAAACTACCACCTCGTGGTGCTACACAGATTATAAAATTGGGTTAATCAAGATGTGAGAGTTAGCCAATAAGAGGCTAGAAATAATGGGCCAGGCAGTGTTTAAAAGAATACAGTTTCCGTGTAATTATTTCAGGGCATAAGCTAGCCAGGCGGCAGGGAGCTAAGAGGCAGGAATGCAGCCTGCAGCTCCTTCTACATGTGGAGGTCAGTGGACAACTTGTGGGTATCAGTTCTCTACTCCCAGTGTGGGACTCAGGGCAGGGTTGGCAGCAAGCTCCTTTACCTGCTGCACCATCACAATAGCCCATAGCTGATAATTCTTTTAATGTTATGTTGGATAAACTTGACTGTGTATTTTTGTTTAGAATTTTTGTATGTAGGGTCATTAGAAATATTGCCTCTATTTTTTTCTTGTAATTATCCTTATTTTGCTTTGGGATGAGGGCATTGTGGGTTTTTATAAAATTAGTATTAGTGTCTCTTTTTATTAACCTATTTATGTAATGTGTATGGGTGTTTGTCTGCATGTATGTTTGTGCTAAACATGCATGCCCGGTGTCCTCAGAAGCCAAAAGAGGGCATTGTTAGGTCTCAGAAACACTGAGGTGCCTAGGAACATATCAAAGGGGACACTGGTCAGTTCTCCCAGCATTTCTCATCTCTACCCCTCCCAGGAGCGGGGCTTCCACTTCCCTTCCCCTAGCCAGATCCCTATACAATTTAGCCATTTTGGCTAGTCCAATCTGTCGGCCCAGGTTGCCTCTCCTGGTCAGTGGCTCCTCTCTTGCTCTCCTTCCCTCTTCCTCTCCTGGTACACTATGTGAAAATCTATTTGCTGTGATTGGTGTAATAAAAAGCTGAATGGCCAATAGCTACACAGGAAGTATAGGTGGGATTTCCAGGGAAAGAAAGGAAGAGAAGGAGGAATTGAGGCATGCAGGAGAAGCCAGGAGACACAGAGAGGAAACAAAGGGTGCAAGATGGAAGAGAGGTAATGCCACATGGTAGAATGTAGATTAATATAAATGGGTTCATTTAAGTTATGAGCTACTTGAGAACAAGTGTAAACAAAAGGCCAAGCTTTCATAATTAATAAGTCTCTGTGTCATTATTTGGGAGCTGACTGGTGAGACAGAGAAAGACTCATTATAGGTGACCAGGATAGTCCAGGAGATCTGCCTGGACCTAACAGACATTCCCCTAAAACATCCTGATGCAGTGCTCTACACGGATGGGAGCAGCTCCATTAAAGGTGGACCCAGGTACACAAGGG